AAAAGCTAGAAAATGAGAGGCTAATGCTAATTCAAATGCTAAATGACTCTTTTTGATTGAGAATCGGGTTCTGTCGCTATCAGAAACCCTAATCTCAAGTTTTTACCTTTCAAGACGTGTCGGCTAAAAATCAGGTGTTAACAGAAAGATCAACATAAAATTAGTCTGGTCGTGGCGCTGATGTTTTGCACATTCACCTAATAATAGGATAATTGAATCTAATGACCTTTTGAAAATGGTCTTAAAACTTTGATAATTTTTTAGAGAGATATTGCAGTTGCTCCTAGAATGCTGGAGTTCTTCCACATTGATGTTTCTGTTCTCTTTTCAGCAAACAAGAAAAGGAACAATGCGACAAAACACCATGCCTCTCCCAATAATTGCGGTTGGCTGTAAGGATCGTATCACGCCTTCGCGCTCAACCCTTCGTTACATCTTCTTTATGCTCTAAGTACTCCCCGTCTTTCTTTATCGTCTCCTTCCACGTCTTCAAGGTCTTCTCCTGCCCTTTGAACCCTTGTTTCCATCCTTGCTCACATCTCATCACTAAGGAATCCGCAGTTCTTCTCTCAACATGGTCGCTAGATCGGAACAAGAGAGCCTGCATTGGAGAAAAACAGTTATTGTGATTATGGAAAGTTGGGTTGAAAGTCTTAAAACTTTTGGTATGCTCGGAAATTACATGTGGATGTAAATGCTATAATCGACATTGTGGGTGATTTGTCTTGTGACTGGGCTTGTTTGGTTCAAAGCTTTTTTGTATATGGGCTTGCAACCCCTTGGTGCCCTATACTAGTCTTCTCTTTTACCTATAAAAAATATGGTCCAGCCATCTCAAACGTCCCTCTCTCACTTGTCCTTTGTCGGGGCAATACCTACCTAATATATTTATTTCTATCTTGTCTTTTCTTGTGTGCCTGCAAATCTGGCGAAGTATTCTCATCTCCACTAACACTCATTTTAAAGCACTTGAAAACAACCAAAGTTTGTCTTTCTGAAGCTCTTCGATTTGGCATGTAGCGGCACTGCGTAAGTGCACTTAACACGAATTGGAAAAGCTAAAGCTTACTGCAACTTTTACTTTGTCTTATGTTTTGGATCTCTACTTTAGAGCACAGTGTCATCTCATTCTTCCGTTTAGTACGGAGTTGCAAGCTTAAACCGCTATAAAGGATAAAAGAGGGTTCATTCCTGTGCAGTCAGTTAGGTACCGCATGATAACCATTCTGGTTCTGTCCAGAAATGATTTTTTGTTCCCAGAATCAGTTTTGGATCAGAAACCCGTTTGGTCACGTAATTTCATTTTTCTATTTCTGGGACAAGTTTTTGTTCCAGAACCGATTCTGAACCAGAAATCAGAACAAAAAAAAAGTTGGTTTTCTATTTCTAGATAAAAAATGAGAATCATTTCTAAGAGAACTCTTTCTTCAAAACACATGTTCATCCGGAAGTCACGATCTTTGAGGTGGGAAAAAAAAGCAAAAAATCAAAAATTTCAAAACTTCACAGAATGGTTTAGAATCTGTGGCTACCCACTTTGAGCGAAATTTAAATTTTTTTAGGTGCCGAAAAAAATAAAAAAATAAAAAAATTTCACAAAATGGCTTAGAATACCTATGGCCACCCACTTTGAGCGAAATTTAATTTTTTTTAGATGCCAAAAAAAATAAAAAATAAAAAAAAAATAAAAAATTTAAAAACTTCACAGAATGTCTTAGAATACCTGTGGCCGCCCAATTTGAGCGAAATTTAATTTTTTTTAGGTGCCGAAAAAAATTTTAAAAAGCAAAAAATAAAAAATTTCAAAACTTCACAGAATAGCTTAGAATACCTGTGGCCATCCACTTTGAGCGAAATTTTAATTTTTTTAGGTGCCGAAAAAAATAAAAAAATAAAAAATTTCAAAACTTCACAGAATGGCTTAGAATACCTGTGGCCACCCACTTTGAGCGAAATTTAATTTTTTTTAGATGCCAAAAAAAATAAAAATAAGCAAAAAAGTAAAAATTTCAAAACTTCACAGAATGTCTTAAAATACCCGTGGCCACCCACTTTGAGTGAAATTTTATTTTTTTAGGTGCCGAAAAAAATAAAAAAAATAAAAAATTTCAAAACTTCACAGAATTGCGGAGAATACCTGTGGCCACCCACTTTGAGGGAAATTTAATTTTTTTTAGGTGTCGGAAAAAAATAAAAATAAGCAAAAAAACAAAATTTTCAAAACTTCACATAATGGCTTAAAATACCTGTGGCCACCCACTTTGAGCAAAATTTAATTTTTTTTAGATGCCAAAAAAAATAAAAATAAGCAAAAAAGTTAAAATTTCAAAACTTCACAGAATGGCTTAAAATACCTGTGGCCACCCACTTTGAGCGAAATTTTATTTTTTTAGGTGCCGAAAAAAATAAAAAAAAGCAAAAAATAAAAAATTTCAAAACCTCACATAATGGCTTAGAATACCTGTGGCCATCCACTTTGAGCGAAATTTTATTTTTTTTAGGTGCCGAAAAAAATAAAAAAAAGCAAAAAATCAAAAATTTCAAAACTTCACGGAATGGCTTAGAATACATGTGGCCATCCACTTTGAGTGAAATTTAATTTTCTTTAGGTGCCGAAAAAGAAATTAAAAAATTTAAAAAATAAAAAATACTATTTGGGCACCTAAAAAAATTAAATTTTACTCAAAGTGGGTGGCTAGAGGCATTCTAAGTCATTCTGTGAAGTTTTGAAATTTTTGATTTTTTATGTTTTTTTTTTGCACCTAAAAAAATTTAAATTTCACTCAAAGTGGATGGCCACATGTATTCTAAGCCATTTTGTGAAGTTTTGAAATTTTTGATTTTTTGCTTTTTTTTCACCTCCAAAAATTAAAATTTCACTCAAAGTGGATGGCCACAGGTATTCTAAGCCATTCTGTGAAGTTTTGAAATTTTTGAGTTTTTGAATTTTTTTGGGCACCTTAAAAAATTTAAATTTCACTCAAAGTGGGTGGCCACATGTATTTCAAACTATTCTGTGAAGTTTTGAAATTTTTGATTTTTTGATTTTTTTTAGGCACCTAAAAAAATTTAAATTTCACTAAAAGTGGGTGGCCACAAGTATTTTAAGTCATTCTATGAAATTTTGAAATTTTTAATTTTTTGATTTTTTTTGAAAAAAATTCAACAAATTTCCTATTTTCCCGAAATCTGATTTTTTTTATTTTTTTGGAAATTGTGATGAATTTTTCTAGAATCTTTCAATTTTTTTGGGTTTTTTGAATTTTTTTGAGATTTTTAGGAATTTTTTGGATTTTCTAATTATTTTTATTCCATTTCTAAAAAAATGGATTTTTGTTCCTCGAAATAGAATTTTGTGTTGTTTATCAAACAAGTTTTTGTTTCAGGAAATAGAAATTTTGTGCTGTTATCAAACGGGTTTCTGTTCCAAAAATAAAATTTTTTGGTCCTTATCAAACGGGTTTCTTTTCTCTGAAACTCTTCTTGGAACCAGAAATAGAAAAATCTATTTCTGTTTCAGGAATTCATTCCGGAACAGAATGGTTATCATTCGCTACCTTAGTAGATCAAGAAACTACTCCATTTGTCTAAAGGAAAAGGAACATGTTCTCTGCTAACGGTTCCACAAGAGCAAGGTACTCGACTTAATTTCAGTTCCTGAGATTTAAACTACATGACATGGAGAGTGACGCGTTTGGTAGGTGTACTGTCAGCATTTGGAATTACAGCGGCTCTATATGTGAGAAGAGCCTGTAAGGCATGGCAGAATTTGTTTAATGGTTTGGTGTAATCCTAGACCATCTGGTCTTTCAGCACTGATGAAGGATGCTCTTGCATTTTGCTGGGGCAAACTGCACGGGGCATCATTGTGGGAAAAAAAGTTTTCGGCATAATTGTTTTTGGTGCATGGATTTAAACAAGGAAACAAGCGGGACACTTGAAGGGGTTGGAGTTTCTTATTCAGAATGTTGTGTATCCAAGCGAGTGTTCAAAGATTTTCAGTGCAAAACTTAACCTATTTTGCTGAGATTATACATGTATGTGTGGGTCTCAGTGTGGCCACAATTATCGCATGCTTGAGCAATGCGGGGCTTTTACAGTTCTCTCTAGTTTAAAGTGATGGCGATAGACAACATTGACAAGAATGTCGTGTTGTAAACGCGCATGGTGTGCTAGGACATGTAAAACATGAGGTTCAAAGGGGCTACTAATGCCATGATAATGGATTCACCACCCAAAAACTTAAGTATATGTGTATAATGCCCAGATTTATTCCTGATCAATTTTGGATTCTAAAGCTTTGATTTGTTGTTAGATACGATTGAGGGCCTACTTGTTCTTCTTCGGGCATGTTGATACAAAATAATATGGGACCAGGCAGTATGTTTCTCGTTCATATAGGATGCCATCATTTTGTGCTTTCAATTCAACACCCTTTCCATTAACTTGGCAATGACTCTTAGGAATTGCAGTAACCATTTTGAACTTGCTTATATTCGCCTATGTCATGCTGTTTCATCAATACTTCAGTCACTACAGCACTCGGTGAACTTGTTTTAGTATATATCAATTATGAAAATCACCAAAACAAGAAAAACAACGTCCTTAATTGTTGATGTATTTATCATTCTTCCAATATAGGTTAATTTGGGAACAAAAGTATGTGTCCGTTCCGAGCGATCAAGATATATCCGTGAGAATGCAAAGGTTTTATGGGTTCAAGCTGTAAACATCAGAGAAAGTATTGAAAACTGCCTTAAGCCACATTGATTTGGAGCAAATCCAACGGTATACTTGCCAATCTCATGACGGCAATCAACAGGACAGCGGAAATTGAATTGGTTCCTAATTTGTAAATGTGATTTCATGCAAGTGTGTATGGATATATCTTGGCTTGTGCCTTTCACTTTCCCGCCAATTTTAGCTGGAGCTCCTGTCAAAGTGCATGACATGTTTGACTAATTCACCATTATTTTTGGAGGGTTTGTTTTTTCATAACTATACAAAAGGAAAACCATAATAAGCACATGAATTAGGAACAGCAGTTTTTAAATATCAAAATTAGCTAGTGAAATTAAACAAACGGAACATAGAAGAGAGGGGAAGGGGACTGTGCACGGCGGCGGTAAGGGCTTCAAGCACTACACTGCCCACGACTATGGCGTTCAATAGTGGCAACCATAAGCGAGTGCTGTTTCATAAGTTCTTCCACTGTCGAATCCATCTTCTTCCTCGAGAACTCATCAAGCGGAAGACCTACATCAAGACCACGGCGACGACTAAGTGGGCCACTAACCAAAATACAAAACAGTTTAATGAAAAGATTTGAGTGCCGTATTATACTGCAATGCAGAAGGATGAAGTGCAAAATAAACATCTCGGAGCAACAACAGATTCTAGACTAAATTTGCTAGCAGAAAGTGCAAAAAATGAAGATTCTAATTGGTTTTAATGGGAAAATAGAATTTTTTATACCTTGCACGATGGTCCATTCCCCATTGCGACAAGTTACCGGGAAGGAATAGATGAGGCCAGCAGGTACATTGTAAGAGCCATCAGAATACACCCCCATGGAAACCCACTTACCCTGAGAAAGTGCAGTCCAAAGAAAGAGTTCAGAAAAAAACAAGCCAAACTAATAAGCTAAATGAGATCGAGTAGAAAGCAAAAGGAAAAAGGCCGTACCTCTGGAGTTCCAAGCACCCAGTCGTGGATGTGGTCGCAGGCACCTTTGGCAAAAGTTATTGCCCTTAAATCCCACGGAAGTCGAGTAATTTCAGCAGAGCGTTTTTGGAAATCAGTAATAAAACCTCCATTCAACCTTCAGCACATAGAATTTTTTTACAAATTCAGAAAACTCATACCATAATACCAACTAAATCAGTCAATAATCAACTCAAAGACGATTTTCTCACCATCCATTATCATTAATGAGTTCACGCACAAGATATTCACCGATTGGTGTATTAACCGTAGCATGTTTGACATCAGGATATTGAGTTGACAAGTGATTTCCCCATATGATAACATTTTTCACATCACCAGCCCGAACATTCAACCTCTGCGAAATCTGATTCAAGGCCCTATTATGATCGGGTCTAGTGAGACAAGTAATGTTTTTCAGAGGAATAGATGGTGCAAATTCCTTCAACACCAATGCAAGCTTATCTGCAGGATTCGCAATGACCAAAACCTGCAGCAGAAAGAGAAAATAGAAAGGTCATATGGTGTGTGTGCATTGTTTCAAACATCCCCATGAAAATAACTTCTATGGGCACTTCATAGAAGATCAACCTACGCACGTCATGAACCTATGGTTTATAATATACACTTTTTTAGAATATCATGCTGCCATAATTTCCATGCTATTATCGACCAACAGTCACATTGACATGCAGGGTGGTGTCTATTTACCAATTAGTCAAGCAACATTTCGTGCAATGAAAATTAAAAGATTTCAAGAAGAAAATACAGTTCACACATTTGCAGATTAACCTTCAGAGTTGCATCTATTTACCAACTAGGCAACCAAATTATCATGCCTTGGAAATTAAGAGATTTAAAAAACAGAAAAAGAAATTTCACCTATTTGCAGATCAAGTCATCCATAGAAATGGAAAGGAAAGCAAACCAAGTTTCCATACCAATTGCACATTTTTCAAACTCCGACAATTAGCGAACTAGGGTCCTATTCTATACATATTTACTTTAATCAAGTGGAAAAATTCCCATTCACAGGCATGCCAAGAGGTCAAAGTTCTTGCAATCGACATCTCCATGTAGGCCTCGAGCTCACAACCTTCCTTTAAAAAAAAAAAAAAAAAGCTTACCTTGCAATTGGCGGCTGCATGGTTTTGTAAAGCTAAAGCCTGCCTCTTGTACATTCCAAAACTGTTCATTGAGATTCTTTTTCTCTCTGTAATCTCTCCAATCAGGATTGCAAATCCAACACCTTTGCATGCCTGCTCAACTTCGGATGTTATAGCCAAACCTGATTCAAGTGCCACATCAGATAATCCTATCATCACATACTACATGCTAACTGCAAGAAACAGAGAAGCCACACAAAAACCTACCTTCAAGGAGAGGTAGCACGGAATCCATCAATACTGTCTCAAGAGCTTTCAGAGCCGGTACATTAGTCTCATGATAAAGCAGGTGTAGAATCACAGGCTGGTCATCACCTAGCATCACTCCCCTAGCGATCAATTCAACGAGATCCTCTGCAATTGGCCCTGCATGGTCAAACAAGGTGTCTCATATTTGTACATTCAAAAACTGGAAAAGTCTACTAGATACAATCGGAAGCAGTAATCGACATTCGTGGCCAACAAGTAAATCGAAACATGCGGCAATCACAGCATGAACACTCGAAATTGACAGGTTGCGAACAAATGGGGGTGGCATGTTACGGCAGCAAAAGATGGTATCCTTAAATGTGGAAGAACAAGCTTATCTGAAATAAAGCGGAAAATGCAAGAGAAAAGGGGTCTAAACTCGTATAATTCCGCCCGCCGCCCCCTAGCAAGCCACTCAGCTAATTCTATTGGCAATGTTAAGAGATACAAATAGAGGATAACCTTAATTCCGTTTGCAGCAATCGTTTCTAGGACAGAGCATATCTCTATAAACTAACAGAATAGCGCACAAACAACCAAAAACCGTCCAACAAAATCGCAATACACCTTACCAAAGTCAGGCCTTACACTGAAACCAAATTGGAAGCGCAATATCCTTTCTTACCAAAATCTCACAAGAAGCACAGAACAACATGATCTCGATAATAAGAATCATCACGAAACCGTTTGACCACACAATCAAGCAAAAACCAAGATCGCCCGCATCAGAGGACCCGCCACCACGTACATTCACTTTTGCTAAATCCTCCAAAAGAATCAAAACCAATGGAACTCTTACGAGAACAGCTCGCCCCATCATACGATCCACGACACGACACAGGTTCAGATTTCTAAATCCTCAGATCAACACAAGAGATAACAAAAAAAAAAAAAATAATAGCAGAGCTGAATCCCGCCATTACCTGTAGCATCCGTAACGAGAACTCGGACTGCTTTCTTCGCCAACGATACCGAGCGAGAGACAAGATACCGAAGATTTCAAAGTGGAGAGTGACTGAGACTCGAGACCGGCGAGGCACGAGACATATATATACACACACGCGCATGGCCTAGGGGGTATAATTGTCATTTCCGTGTGCCGCGAGGCTGTGAAACGACAGCGTTTTAGAGAGCTGCCAATCAAAATTCGCAAGCGTACGAGTGTTCTCGTACGTGTCCTTGTGTACTTCTTTTTTGGTCATAGTCTTTTCCATGGTGCTCCTTTTAACTTTTCTTCTGTTCCGATTGGGATCTTCTAACGGGGTTATAATATCGATTCAGTCCTTTCCCGTGGAGAAACTTACGTTAACTAGGGTAGTTATCATAACAAGCTTTGGAAATTATATACCGTAAATTTTTGATTTTATAAACCGAGGGCATTGTTTAATTTACGGTTTACATAAGCAAATGGCCATTTTTCTTTTCAATTTCACGTGAAAATCCAAAATTTTATCTTACGTTTAAGAAATTGTGACGAAATTTTAAGAGTCTCGAATTTTATTTTTATTTTTTTTAAATTTCAGACGTTCAACATTTCATGTGAATCACACGTATTTTATATAAAAATAATAGTACAATTCAAAACTTTCCGTACGTGTTTAATGCATTTGGTTTAGAATCCGAATAGGATATGTTTCCTATTTGACGACCGATAGTGTTCCTAGGTTGGAAAGAGAGCCTTGGGATTATCTCTTTCCCATTTAGGATATAGAAATTTTTTTTTTAAAAAAAAGAAGAAAATATTGAAATCAGAAAAGGAGAAAGAGAATTGAAGTCAAGAGAGGAGAGGGCGGCCCAATATTGAAGCCAATCATGGCTACTCAAAGGCAACAGCTACCGCACTCATATGGTCACGAGTAGTCTCTTTTTTGTACACACAAATTTGAAGCGAGAATCGAAGCATCGACCACCTTCTCCAAAATGGTTATGCATCCTAGGTTAAGAAAACCGATAAGTGTGTCACGACCTACCTCTCGAGGGCCGAACTTGGGAAGCGGGTTTAAAGGTAAGTGTCCATGAAACGGTCCGAATGACACATCATAAAAGACGGCTCACCGAAGCATCGATCTTTTGTTCATCCATAAGGTCCATTGATCATGAACGTGGATTTTTGCTAAATTCATATCTCGCGTGACAGCGGATTGATTTATCGTTTTTAGCAAATAGGAGTCGCCACTAGCTTATGTCTGGGGTCGGCTAGAATACCCAACCAAAACGCGGAAATTTTGTTTCGGTTTCTACGAAAATCAGAGATCATTTAGGTGATTCGACGGATTTCGAGTTTCGGGTCCTTTTTTTTCTAGGGAACTGAATCTCTAAGATGCGATCTGCTTGAAGTTTGTTCAGTTTGTTTTTGCTTGGGAAACTTTGGATTGGCTTTGAGCTGACTCCTTCCACTGAAATTCGGTAAATGTAAATTAAGTGGCTGCGTTTAGATTTAGTTCGTTGGCTCTTGTCGTAACATGAGATCTTTCTTTGTTCTTTGTTCTTTGTTCTTTCGCCTTTGAGCATTCCGGAGGAGGTAGAGAATGCTTTGATGAGTTTGGGATTATGTGATGAGTCGATCAGTTTATTGAAGATTGATTGGTCCTTGCATCTTGATCTTGAATTAAGAATTTGCTTGGAACTGAATTAGATCGATTAAATTAAGCTAATCGAGAGAACTATAGCGTGACGGAAGACGCCCCGGATGATGTTTCTAGCGAGTGAAGTTATGCGAGTCAGAAATGTTGCTTTGTGCATGGTCCGCGAAGATGGATTTTTTCTTCACGAGCGGTGTTAATCAGGATCAAGTGGACGCATTAAGTAAATGACTAGTCGCTTTCATGTATGAGCCTCAAGATGTGGATTTGCTCCAAGTTTGGGAAATTTTGTTTGAGTTGTGATGGTTTCATGGGTGCGGTGAAAGTTAAGAAGTTAGATTTTCCACAGAAAAGGGAAATAAAAAGATAAGAACCTTGAATCTGTATACCACCCCTGGAAGTAAAACTCTTTTTTTGAAGCGTGCACTCATACTATATAATGACTACTTATCTGATAATAATGAAGAAAATTCAACTGATGTGGATAGCTTTATTTAGAAAGAGGGGGCGAATCATTCTTAAGGTTTGGATGCCAGTGGCTTGCATGATGCTGGATCTTTATCCAATTAATGAGTCAACTAGTTCTCTCATTTGTAGCAACAATGCTTTTTGCTTAAGATTTTGACTGATTTTTAAAACAAATGACAACAGCTTGCTGAGAGTTCAGAGCTTTAATGGCAGTGAATTTTTTTGAGGGGATATCAATGGCCTGCAAGATGCCTGATTTTGTGTCTAGCTCAGTTGGAGTCATTTTCATTCGAGTGAATTTCAGCTGGAGTCATTTTATTCATACAACATATGCGTTATGTGATTATGATTCCTCTTTTTATTTTGGTCAATGTCCAATCGTCAAATGCATAAATTAAATTTAGTTTAATGTTCGAGAAGTGTTACTGTGCATGTAATTGTTTTTAGCATAAATTTAAATGTAAATGAATGATAAATATAATAAAATGCAGAGATTAACAGGAATGAGTAAAATGTTCGTTTTCTATTAAATTTAATATCCACAAGGTGTAGAAAATATGTTGGAAAAAGCGGAACTAGCTTATTTGGCTTTGCTCCTGTCACCTTATGTAAAAAAACCAATGAATTTCTAAACTAAAATAACTATTTTGTAACCGAAATATATTAAATAAAATGTAGCAAGTTCAAAGGCCTGTTGAACTACAAGCGCACGGCACGCTCTAGAAAAATCCTCTGCATGGTACTAATGTTTTGGATTGCAATCTGAAATGCGTAGTATTTTATTTGGGCCTCTCTTTCCTGGTGAGAATGGAGTTGAGCTGTTGGTGGAGATTATCAAACTAAGTGTGGTATTTAGATAGTTGTCAAGAATTGTTAATAGAGGTTATTCAGAACCAGGTATTGTCCGAATTTAATCAGAATATAGCATTAACATCAATTTGTGCTACTTGTCAATATGCTTCTCTAGCCTTTATGAGCTTGGGATATTGATTACATCATCAAGGGCTTTAAGACTTGAATTTGCTGAAGAAACCTACCTCACAGACAATGTTAACCTTGCTGAAACTTGATGTGATATTCTATTGGCGCTAAATTTGATCTAGCGTAGTCTGTATGTCTCACTTTCTTGTTGAGACCCTTGTCTCGAGAATCCTATATGTGATAAGTTATACCTTGCTCTTTTCCCTCCTTTTCTTTGCCCTTCTTGGGCAACCTTCACCTTCTTCTCCAACATCTTCTTCAAGTTCATCAACACCATCCTCTTCAAATAGTGTCGATGAACTGTTAGTGCCAAGATCGAGAAGATTGTCTGAAATTTACGAAGCTACCGAAGAGCTTCATTTTATATGTCTTCTTGCATATTATGAACCACTTGCTTATGATGATGCGGCCAAAGAAGAAAAGTGGAAAAAAGCCATGAACAAAGAAATTGAAGCCATCGAGAAAAATCAAACATGGGAGCTTGATGATCTTCCGAAGGACAAGAAATCGATTGGTGTTAAATGGGTTTACAAGGCCAAGAAGAATGAGAAAGGTGAAGTGACAAGATACAAAGTTAGATTAGTCGCGAAGGGGTACAAGCAAAAAGCCGGAATCGACTATGATGAAGTTTTTGCCCCTGTCATCCACATGGAAACGATTAGATTGATTATTTCCATTGCTGCTCAAAATAATTGGCGGATTTATCAAATGGATGGCAAATCAGCATTCTTGAATGGCATCCTTGAAGAAGAAATTTATGTCGAACAACCCAAGGGGTTTGTTGTGAAAGGTCATGAAGACAAAGTGCTGAGGTTGAAGAAAGCTCTATATGGGCTTAAACACGCACCGAGAGCATGGAATTCCAGAATTGATGCATATTTCAAGGCAAATGAATTCTCTCAATGTCCATACGAGAATGCACTCTATTTGAAGCAAGAAAAAGGTGATATTCTGCTCGCCTGTTTATATGTTAATGATCTTGTTTTTACAGGAAATAATTCGGCGATGATTGATGCTTTTAAGGCATCGATGGTGAAAGAATTTGAGATGACCGATAATGGTCTCATGAATTATTTCCTTCGTATCGAAGTGAAGCAAAGTGCCAATGGGATTTTTATTTCTCAAAAAGGATATGCTAAAAATATCCTTGAAAAATTCAACATGAAGAACTGTATGCCGGTCAATACACCAATGGAGTGCGGAACCAAGCTTTCGAAGTTTGATGATGGTGCCAATGTTGATTGGACATATTATAGAAGCTTGATTGGGAGTTTGAGATACCTGACATGCACGAGACCGGATATTATGTATAGTGTTGGAATTGTGAGTCGATACATGGAGAAGTCAAAATCATCTCATCTTAAAGCTGCAAATAGAATACTTCGGTACAGCAAATGTACTATTTCTCATGGCTTACACTATTATTGCTCTGAATCTTTCAAACTTAGAGCTTATTCGGATAGTGATTATGATGGAGATATCGACGATCGAAAAAGCACCATGGGATTTGTATTTGTCTTGTGCGACACTGCTTTCACGTGGTCATCAAAGAAGCAACCAAGTGTTATTCTGTCGACATGTGAAGCTAAATATGTAGTTGCATCTTCATGTGTTTGTCATGCAATATGGTTGAGAAGACTACTCAAAGATATTCTTATGGAGCAGAAGAAAGCAACGGAGATTTTTGTTGATAATGTTTCTGCTATTGCTTTGGCGAAAAATCCAATTTTTCATTAACGAAGTAAACATATCGATGTTCGATACCACTTCATCCGAGAACAGGTTAAAGAGAATGAAGTTGAAGTATTGCATGTGAAGACCGGAGATCAAGTAGCAGATATTTTTACTAAACCTCTCAAGATCGATGCTTTTCGAAAGTTCAAGAGCCTGCTTGGAATGATCGATGGAAGAGAATTTGGCTTCAGGGGGAGTGTTAGAAATTAAACCAAATTTGTTGGTACTTATTTT